CAGCATACTTTAATGATAAAAAAAACCTCAGCAAACTAGGAGTAGAAGAAATTCCTCCACATGATAAAGGACCTCTGTTTGAACAAACAAAGAAAGAAAGATCAGGTAAGATCAGGAAAAAGACCAGGAGGCCTACCTAATTTCACCTCTGCTATTCACTGTTGTGCTGGAAATTCTAGCCAGAGCATTTAGGCAAGAAAAAGAAATAAAAAGCATTCAGGTTGCAAAGGAAGAGGTAATTCTCTTTGTTGTCGACATGCTCTTACATATGTTGTTGTTGTTGTTACGTGCTGTCGAGTTGGCCCCGACTCATAGCGACCCCTCCTTGGGTTTCTGAGACAGTATCACTACGGAAGTAGGATTGCCCAACCTTCCTTCCGAGCTCTTACATATAGAAAATCCAAAAGATTTTCCATGTAAATCCAGAAGATTCCACAAGAAAGTTCCTAGTGCTACTAAATGAATTCAGCAAAGTGGGTAAGCACAAAAATCTGTAATGTTTCTATACACAAAAAACAATCTGAAAAAGAAAGGAAGAAAACAGTCTCATTTACAATAGCATCTAAAAGAAAAAAATACATAGGAATAAATTTTAACTGGGGAGGTGAAAGACTTGTGTATTGAAATCTATAAATCATTGCTGAGAGAAGTAAAAAGAAGACATAAATAAGCAGAAAGACACCCTGTGTTTATGGATTGGAAGACTTAAAATTGTTAAGATGTCAGTACTACCCAAAGTGATCTACAAATTCAGCATAATCCTTATCAAAATCCCAACAGCCTTTTTTGTGGAAATGGAAGAGCTGAACCTCAAAGTCACATGGAATGGCAAAACCCACTGCTATCAAGTTGATTCTGACTCATTGTGACCTTTTAAAACAGAGTAGAACTGCCCCATAAGGTTTCTAAGGCCATAAAACTTTATGGAAGCAGACTGCCTCATCTGTTTTTACCCGGAGCACCTGGTGGGTTTGAACCTTCAGCCTTTTGGTTAAGCAGCTCAATGCCTTAACCACTGCACCACCAGAGCTCCTTGTGGGAGGGGAAAATGGGAAGTTATTGCTCAAAGGATATTAAATTTCTGTTTGGGGTGATGAAACATTTTGGGAAATGGGTAGTATTGATAGTTAGACAACATGGTGAATGTAATTAATGACACTGAATTATGCATTTAAAAATTGTTAAAATGGAAAATTTTACCACAATACAATTAAAAAATATTTTCTAGAGAGGTACTCTTTGTTGTTGTTGTTATGTGCCATCGAGTCAGCCCTGACTCATAGCGACCCCTCCTTGGGTTTCTGAGGAAGTATCACTAGAGAAGTAGGATTGCCCAACTAATGCATAATTCTAAATGATTACTCAAGTCAGTAATACAACTGCTTACTGACTGCTACTCCTTGTGTGAGGGTGCTTTGGAATTCTTCAGTTTAGTATTCATTTTAATAATTAGTTTTTGCAACAAGGTTAGTTACTGCTTATTTAGGATGTAAGTTATTTTGGATTTCTTATATGTTGCATGCAGCAGATTTGAGTATGTACTGTGTGCCAGGTACTGCACCAGGTCGAAACTCAGGTCATTGGGAAATGATTTAACTCTTTGTATTCACAGTTGACCTACTGGAGCATTTCAACTACTAGACTTAATCCTTGGTTTCACTTCATAATCTTTGGTTCTCAGTGTTCAGTAAGATACTACCTTCTGCTTAATAAGTTATGGCCACAGGGTGGCATGGTTATCTTGTGGGCTTTACTATTGCTAAAATAGAAAGGAAGAGATACTGGAAGTAATGAGAGTTCTCTGTTTAATGCTAAAATGCTGCGGCTTTCTCAAAATTGATCTTTTTTTTTTTCTTTTTTTGTAGTACTTTACATAATGCTATAGAATTCTTTAAAATCTTTTATGATTACAACACAAATGACATAATGTTTTTGACTGGGAGAAAAGTAATTGGGCCTATATTTCGTAGAATATATTTACTTAACTGTTGTTATGTGCTGTCGAGTTGGACCCAACTCACAGCAATCCCTCCTTGGGTTGATGAGGCAATATCGCCTTGGAAGTAGATTGCCCAACCTTCCTTCTGACGAGTGGCTGACTTAACTACTCACTTTAATAAAAAGTCAGTGTATATAAACTGCTACAGGGATATTTGCAACCAAAGGAAAGTGATGTGTTTACTTCTAAGTAGTTGCTGAATCATGGGCAGATTTACTGCACAGTAATTTTGTCTGATTCCAAAGGCCTAATGGGGTTGGGTGGTATTAGGAAGAGCAGGGGAAGCCACGTGGTCAGCAAATTGTTAGAAAAGTGGCCTTCCATCTGAATAGTTTAAAGACATTATATAGACTGAGAGCTGAATATGTTCCAAGACTTTTTTTTTTTTTTAATGTTATCTTCAAGGAAGGAAGGTATTATCTCCATTTATATAGTGAAGAAAACTGCCTTGGGATATAAGTAAAGTCTTTAAAGGTGGGAATTAAACCCAGATTTACCTGGTTCTCAAGCTCATTCTCTTTCTCCCATGCCATTTCCAAGCAGGCCTATTAGAGGCCCTCCTTTATACCTTTACTGGGGAAATGGGGGGAATTGGTATTAGAAGTATTGCTACAACTAGAACAAAGAAAGGGATTAAGGAACATTTTGAGTATGAGGATGTGAGTATTAAATTAACTTCTTCCATCCTCTGCCTTATTTTTGGATTTATCCAGATATCTGCCCTTTTTACTTATCCATTAAGTAAATACACAAACTGTTACCTTGTTAGTTTAGTATTTGTTAGTTTAATTATCTCCACTGACGTATAAGCTTAAAGAGGGTAGTGATCTTATTTGCAGCTTCATTCTGTATTCTCAGTGCCTAGCACATATTAAGTGCTTACTTAGTAAGTGTTTGTCTAAGCCTACTAGAATGGGAGCAGGTTAGATGATAAATTTTTTTTTTAAATTTGGTATTTCATAAAGATAGACTTCTGAGAGGAACCTTACTCATGCAAACTTGTTTGTATCTTCTTTTCCTAGGGTGATTGTGTTGTTACAATACTGCTGGCTGAAGAGGACAAAGTTGAAGATGATGTAGTGTTTTACTTGGTATTTTTGGGTTCTGCCCTCCATCACTGTACAAGCACACGGAAGATCAGTTCTGATACGTTGGAGACCATTGCTCCTGGTAAGTATGTGGGTGGAATCTTTACTTGTCTTATGAAAAATAAAAATGATCTTATGATGTTAGAATATTGTACATACTTCATGAACACATAGTTTTGTGTTCATTAGAGTGGTAGGAAGAGTAAATCAGGGTGATACACTGTTGTCAGATATATTTAAAATAGTGTTTAGAGATAAAAGATTTTGTTTAAATCTTGCTTGTTCAACAAAAATCAGAGCCTAACTAGAAATAAGTGAGACAAAATGATGTCATAAACTGAAAGATAAAAATGAGGATTAGCAAAAATACTAATTTATTGGAGGGTAGACATTTTGGGGAAAACCACAACATAAATGGAACATACAATTTCTCACATGGTTACTGGGGACTGCAGATTCAATTATGAGTTTAATAATAGCAAAAGCCACTATAAGGAAAAGACTTAAAAAATCTTTCCTAAAAGCTTCATTTCCCCAATTTATAATTCATGATAGGATGAGTGATTAATCATTGTTGTTCTTATAAGTTTGACAGAATTAACAGGAAAATGTTTGCTTATGAAAAATTCTTTACTCAGTCATCAAGTCATCACGACTTCCATCAGAAAATAATCATTATGTCTTGGCCTATTCCAGCATCTGAAGGTATTGATTGGGGTTTGGGGATGTGAGCTTCTTTCCTTCACTCACCTTGCTTCCATGTTAACAATTAGGAGTTGTAGTTTTGTGTATGTATTTGTATCTATATTCACACACACATACATATGGAGCACAGAAATACATAGAAAGAGAATACAAATAGATACAAAAGAGTATAAGGAGATAGAAGGAGAAGGACAGATATGAAGAGGATGTGGTCCTGAGTCATAGCTTTGTTCTTCAGTCACAAACCCTAGCAGAATCCAGCCTTTGGGGTGGAGAATGATATACCTGATAGCTTTTATACCCTCACTGGCAAGCTACTTAAATCAGGAAGAGCAGGCGGGCATTTACTTTCCTTGGATTCACAAACCCAGTCTACTTGTATGACAACCTGGAGCTCTATGCTTATACTAGATCCTTATACATTCTATCTTTCGGACCTCTTGTTCCCAATTCTTCTCTTCTCTTTTGTATTAACACTTCCTTATATATCCCTGTGCTCCTCTTTTCCAGCTGTACCCATCACTGAGTGTCCATTTGGGCATAAAGACTTAGTATCTTAGCCCACCAGGATGGATGTTGTATTCTGCTGCTTTCTTGCAGTTTGGTCCAAATTCTGAGAAAACATTTTTGCCTCATTTGCTTGGAGTCTGGA